AATCTCGCGACAATGTCAGTCAAATACGATATACAATATGCCATAAATCATCACTATTGCTTCGTGAATAGCGTTGATATATCATTGAATTATTGCACGGAAAAGCTTCGAAATCGTCAAACGGACGCGTGTATAAGTTATTAACAAGCTTTACGCGTAGATAGCAGAGCAATGAGGCTTTCTGATAGAATCTAGACAGGCGTGGTTCGGAACCGAACGTGTTTTCAATTTTACGAAAGGCGGGAGACGATTTTCCTGGCGGGTTGACAACACATTACAAGTGATTCAGTTAGCACTTCATAATTAGAACATTGGAAACAAATCAAAAACTATTAGTTCGTTGACGTTGTCATACCCAGCAAAACGAGACGTGCGTTTCAGACGGTATTACTAAGGCGTTTTGCAGCGATATCAGTTTCAACAGTAAATTCGCAAATATGCGTTCCAATAATTTTTTTAGCATTTACTATACCATGGAAATCCGAGATATACATATTACTCCATAAAACGATAATATCTTTGGGATAGAAAATGCAACACGATAGCAGATTGTAGATAACATAATTCTATACACGACAACAGAGCAATGCTTTTAACAAGGAAAATTTGCCAGGGAAATGTCGAAATTCTTGTGGTATTTCAGTCCACGAAGACTGTTTAATAATCCAGCAGATTTTCAGACCCCTGTCATGAAAAGGTTGATTTTAAACGTTTGACGATTAAAGTGCTGATTGAAGACGCCCCTGGCTTGCTTAATCTCTGCACGATTTGTAGCTCACCTCGTGAAGCACAGCTATACAATGAAAAGCTCATAACTTAGCTAGCGACTGATGAAACCTCTGTCAATAATTCCTGTGGGGAAGACCGAAGACAGACGTATACCCCACGAAGATCCGTGTCTTATTGCCACAGCCCAAAGCTACTCCTCAAAAAATGAGTTACAAGTCCCTAGATCTTTCTTAATACCACGAAAAAAATTGAATTAGCTCGAAATTCATAAATCAATTTATTCCAACGAACTTTAAGGCTTGAAAAATTGCAAGAAATTCTTGCAAGTATCTCTTGATGCATGGGAGAGACAGCATGTCGTTGTATTTTAAAATTACCGATAACGAACAATTCTTAAGTAAACACTGATGTCTAGACATACATCAAACTTCATTTCCCCTTCAGATATCTTCTTTTATGCATGATACGGTACTGAAAAATGGCATTAGCAAGTGCTCGGATGAGATTGTCTGTTCAATTTTCAGCGGTGAAAAAATGTGGTTTTCGACCGGATAACTTTTAATTTAACACACGATAATTTGGCTATTTCTTGCCATCATGGCATAAAAGATATTGATATAGAAAGCGAAAAAAACCCTCTTTCTTTCTGTGAAAATATTAAATCGTTTGACTCCATATTTAATGCATTGCGACATCTTAAAGTGAGGATTGCACTTTTTTTTGAGGCACCCTTTATAGACGTTTCTGACGTTGTTCACTTTAGTTATAATGCATCATCAAGTGTTGGATAAAAATCACCAACGCGAATTAACAGACGACGATGCTGACATAATAATATCCAATAGACGCATTACTCTCATTAGAGTGTCTGCATTAAAAGCTCAGCATTGGGGGTTGAATTAACAATGATGACATGCTTGTTATAACAAAAAAACATTTGACGTCTAGACGAAAATTTTAAATGAGATAGTCGCAAACTCATTGCCCTTGCTGTGCGCTGTAGTTATTTTGTTGTATTGGTAATTTTAAGAGCAATTCTATACCTGAAGTGTGTGCTATGATTATGGTGCTAGATTTTTTGTTAACACGGTATATATGGTGTAAGATCACATAAAATTTGTTTGTACGTTCATTTGAATGATGGAATTTGCTTATTTCTAAACGCAAAAGGAGCAAGTACTGCAATGATCAACTGACATTGAGAAAGGTTGAAAGTGAAACACTGAATAAAACATTGCAAAGCAGTAAGTACTAGACTAGTCAGGCTAATATTAGTAGCAACAGTCAGTACTCAGTCAGACTAGCAGTACTGCAATGATCAACTGACATTGAGGAAGGTTGAAAGAGAAACACTGAATAAAACATTGCAAAGCAGTAAGTACTAGTCAGGCTATATTAGTAGCAACAGTCAGTACTCAGTCAGACTAGCAGTACTGCAATGATCAACTGACATTGAGGAAGGTTGAAAGAGAAACACTGAATAAAACATTGCAAAGCAGTAAGTACTATAGACTAGTCAGGCTAGTATTAGTAGCAACATGCAGTCAGCACTCAGTCAGACTAGCTGTACTGCAATGATCAACTGACATTGAGGAAGGTTGAAAGAGAAACACTGAATAAAACATTGCAAAGCAGTTAGTACTAAACTAGTCAGGCTAGTATTAGTAGCAACAGTCAACACTCAGTCAGACTAGCAGTACTGCAATGATCAACTGACATTGAGGAAGGTTGAAAGTGAAACACTGAATAAAACATTGCAAAGCATTAAGTACTAGACTAAGTCAGACTAGTATTAGTAGCAACATGCAGTCAGCACACAGTCAGACTAGCAGCACTGCAATGATCAACTGACATTGAGGAAGGTTGAAACGTGAAAGAAAAACACTGAATAAAACATTACAAAGCAGTAGGTACTAGACTAGTCAAAAAAATTCGGTCGCTTACGCGTGTGAGGTAACTAAAGTAGACTTGAATAGTCATTTGCGTCAGCCTGAGGAGCTTATTACACAGTAAGGATCTTAGAAAGCGTAGGCGCCTTAGGTATAGGTTTGCCAGTGAAACACTCCAAAGTACTCTAGTAAAATTAGCTTAGATCATTCAAGTAGCATAGATGGGATAAATCTAAGAGAAGCTTGAAAGCCAATCGCAAAGTAGATGATCTGGTAAGACTTGTCATCCATTGATGTGTGATCTGTGGTGTGATCCAATGATCCTTAGTTTGATTTTTTCAACTCCGTAATAATTCTTCCTGTAGTAAGATCCTTCATGTCCTATGTCCTTCATACATTTCATCCTTTCAAAAATTTCATCCTTCCGTTTTAATTACCACAGCGTGATTAACTTTGGTAATCCGTACATCTTCCATCATAAATCTGGTGTCGAATTCAAAATCCATACTCAAAAAAAATGATCGGATTAATTTGCCCAGGTGGCCTTTTCGAGGTGTCATATTAACACATATGCATGATTGTAGCTTCGAAATCAGGACTATATACAAGATTAGTGAACATTGTGACGCCTTTTTGACCATGCCACTGTTTTTTTTTCAACACGAATACGGTTTCGAATGAAAATCACATTATCGCATTGACGTCTTCGCAGGATTAAAACATTTGAATACGATGCAGATGCATTTGGGGGAACAATGAATATTTCATCCTATAACCAAGCCCTGACCCTAGTGCAACCCATCGACATTTCGCGGGGGACAAAACGGGAATGTGCGTATGCGTGGGGGGGGGGGAGCCACAACTTTGGACGCAAGATACAATCCAGTGTATCCTAATCCACTTGGTAGAATATTCCTGCGGGTGAAATCGGAATGTTTGGGGGAAAAGCAACCGGATTTTTGCCGTTCAAAACAACTTCATTTAATCCACTTCGTGGGCGAAATAAGTAAGCATGTCCCGGAAACCCGCAAACTTTGGAGATTTAAAAGTCATTCCATCATAAAACCTAATCCACTTCGTAGCCGGAATCAAAATTATTCTATTCATAAACAATGTCCGCGCACATTTCACCATTCGAAATAGATGCATCGCGCATTATCTTATACAAACTAAGGTCTTTCCTAAATAGGCATATCTGATATTTTTACTGTGAATCACCACTACTTCAGCGACGGAGAAAGTACAGAAAGATGACATTTGATAATAAAGAATGCTGCCGGAAGTGCAACGTTGCTGATTTTAAAACGATTCCATAAAACTTAATCTACTTTATAGCCGGTATCAAAATGCATCTATCTAACAAACGTAGGGTACAAATATATGACCATATACATTAAAGTTATCACGATGAAAAACAGCCGGTGTGTTCTTAGGAAATTACGGAATCCTGCTCTGATTTACGCACACGTCTGATCATTATTTTCACTAGGAATTATGGAGTCCATTGCAATTAGCGACGAAAAAAATATATAAAAAAGTCGATGTAAAAAACAAACTTGGATGAAAGATCAAAATTATATCTCTTAAGTGTCTTGTTTATTCTACGTCTTGAAATACAAATATCTTCAGAGGCGTGCATTGGTATTTGCCTCGCAGATAATCCAGCGCGACATTACTGCTTACCGCAGGTAATAGAGTGGAATATGTTATAAAAAAATAGTGAAATTCTCCGGACTATATTTCACGCATGTTATATGGTTTAGAAACTGTAAAACTTGTAGTTTTATTCAATCTAAGATCCTCTATGTATAGCTGTGATGTTAATTTTATCCTTATCGCCCGAATAAAATTCAGTCTATACTTGAAATTATTGATAAAAAAGCGAGCCCCCTTCGATCTTAAAAGGTACATTAAAAAACGTTATCATCAAGTATTAAAAATTCACATTTCATATGATCATAATTTACGTATATATAGCATTCTGTGCAATTATCTACACTATCATATATAAAAGTTTGATGAATATGTGTTTTCATTTGATAAACTACAGAGTTATTCATAACTTAGTGCGGTTAATACAGTACACAGAGTCACAGACGAGAATAAGACGATTTTGCCGTGAACTATGTCAATACGATAGCCTAAATTAGATACGTTTCAAGTTTCCCAAGGCCCCTAAAGTTGCAGACTCTTCAAAAATATTTACATGAAAGATAAGCTGCCTGAAATATACGAGAAAATTTCGCGATGTTTCGAGGGCTTTCGTGAGCAAGATAGTTAGTACGCTACGTACGAACTCCTTTGACGCAAACCCTTAAGAGGTATTTTTAGTGTTTATGAGAAATATCCCGAAGCGATTTTCGTCTTTTGAAGAACTTATTTTGCAACAACATTTGCAGGCGTCAATCAACACCTCGTGTTCTGTATTTCTCGGAACTGCATTCCAAGAAGAGGTTTAGAACGTTTCTCAACATGAGCTGAACAAGCGGTCGGTATATGGTTTGCAAAATCGCTATATTTGCAGGAAGCACCTGGCTATATAAGCGATTGCTTAGAGCAATTGCAGACCGTTGCTCCATCCAGTTTTATCGCGCGGTATTGGGATCGAAAACTCGCAACACGCGCGGGCCTAAAGCTGGTGCCGTTTTCGCCGGGAAAAAACCTATGACTTTTGAGTCTGACGATGCTAAGGCAGTGACACACTAATAAGTAAATTAGGCTAACTCATACTTGGTGTGAGCTGGTCTGTAGATGTTCCGTTTAACACATCGAACCATCCAGTCAATTCCATTTTCAACGCCGTCTCTGAGAGGAAATTCAAAAGCAAGTTAAGATCTCGCGAAATAGTTGTAGCATGCTCAATTTGGCTAAACCTATCTCCCCGAACCAGGGGGAGAGTTTGCATGAGAAAAAAACACTAAAAGATAACATGGCAGAGTAGTGATTGGTGTTATGTTCGTGTTACATGAAGTATAAAACATTAGAAAGAACACATGTAATATATTTGGGACGAGGAAATAAAGACAATTTTAAAGATACAACAATAGGGTGTGTCTCTTAGATCTTACCCTTCCAAAGCTGAGATTGGTTGAACTGTGCAATCTCGCCTTCCAATGTATGGTGTGACATCTTTGAATGCGTCCTTGATATCTTCTACAGGTCTTGCATTCTAAAAACATTATATAACTTATAACATCTATGTACTATAGTTAACACTGAAAATTGAAGAAAAAATTGAAACAAGCCAGCAGTGTGGAGAAGAGTGATTACCCCCACCCAGTAAGTATGGGTATCTATCTGGATCTATCCTTGAGTTTTAGGAATTGGCTTTTCGCAATAATAATGAAATGTGTTTACGATTTGTTCTTTGGAAAATCAATCTCTATAGTTCATTGTGTTTTATTGCTATCATCAACCAATAGCAAAGTTTGTTCCTTTAAATAGGTACCTACCCAATCTCCCCCCCCTGAATTTCTGCAATCATGGAATTTCTGCACCCCCCTTCTCACTAAAAAACCTCTTCCTATGCCAATTGTTTTGGTCAACCAAATATATTTAGCTTCAGCGAAAACTATTTGTTTTATTCGAAAACCATGACACTAGGTAAAACAATCTTCGATTTACAATACCTGGGAGTCTTGTTTATTAAACAGTACCAAAAGTGGGACATTTTCAAGATCAGGACTTTGGATCACATGACCTGACAGAAAGAGCGATGAAATTACTGTGGCCAATACACTCTGTGCTAGGATTTCAATCTCAATCTATGGTATACACCCCTAGAGCTAAGCAACCATATTTAAGGTAATACTCACTGAACACTTTGGCAGCTTCATCATGTCTTGATTCATCAACTGAATCAACAAGATATATAAGACCATGGCACTCTTGATAGTACTAGATTGAAGAAAAACCTTGTAAGCACGAGAAAATCATTGAACGAAGCCTGTATTCTGAAATATTGGGCATATTTTTTCATGTAGAAGTGAGTCCATAACACAATGTAAATCATGAATAAACATAATGCATGATGTTACATGAAGTAGAGTTTGTAACACAAAGCATGTGATAGTTGTTGGTGATGAGCGCTGAACATGTACGTAGGTATAGTCATCATATTCTGGAGATGATTCAATTGCTCCGAAGAAAATGTATAAACCTGTCATCAACTGAACAATTATTACCTTATCCCAGAGTGACTGGAGGTCCTGGTGTCCTCCGAGGTCCCAGAACAGTAAACGTACACCAGAAACATCAACTTTACCAACTAAAATAATAAAAACCTTGTTGCAAAATGCTGTTTGCACAGATCCAAAAATACCACAGCAAGGAACATTTTCCTAAACATCAGTCACAATATTGCTGTGAAGTGTTCAAGAAATGAGAGGAAACTTACACTGCAATTAATTGGTCAAAAATGTCTTTCATTTACTATAATGTCTCCCAATTACAGCAACTTGTCAAATGGTCACAGTCGTTTCATCTAGGGGGAACCTAAGTAGTCTGCTATGTGAACCCTTGTAAAGGTTACTCTCTATTTCTATATACTTACTATTCAAACCAACTGTATTTGTTATTTTCTCAAAAGGAATCCCTCTGTAATCGCTATTAAACTTTCTTTTCACTTGTTCCAAGAACGTCTATATAAACCAAATATGAAATATAACATATTTTGCACAACTTGGTCGAAACTGAACGTTGGTCTCTTGAGATTTTAATTGAATTTTTGTTGTCCTTAACATCGCATTTTGATAAGGCTAAGTTGTACAGTACAACAATGACGAAAATCTTTACCAAAAAAATATTTAAAGTCGCAATTAATATTCAAATGTCACAAATTTATCTTCGACTTTTCAACGCCGCGAAATTTTACACGCTTGCTGTTGAATAAACACATGACTAGAAAACTATACATCATAACAAAGAACCAGCAAATACAAACCACAAAAATGATTAGAAGACATTGAAATCAACGTCAAATATTCATTTCAAAAACTCAGCTGGATACGAATATTCCTCAACATACCGTTTTGCCGACGTTATCCACCCCCAAAATGAGTATATAATATTCGTCTTTCTGAAACATGTAACGCCATAATCCGGAGAGCAAAGTGAACATCTTTGATGTTCATTCAGACGAAGACAAAACAGGAAATTTTATTTCTAAATGCTCACATTTTGATCTCTTTCAGCTCTTTCTTCCCACTTGAAGCCGCCATCTTGAACTTTTGCGCGCAAGTCTGGAAACGAATCTTGAGCTGTGATCTTGAATTGAACCAAAGTTCAGCGTATCAATAGACCTTTCGCATTTGTAGACTTATGTTGTATCTATGCAAGAAAATTCAATCAAATCGCCACAGCTGAAAAGAGCGTACTAAAATTAGTAGAAATGCAAAGTTTGGATACGAAATGTTGTAAAATACGGAAATCAGTTCTAAACTGTTCTTCCTAGAGGTCCAGGCAGTAAGGATCATCTCTTATTGATCCAGTGTTACTGCAGGAGGAAACCTAAACTAAACTGACTTTATTTATACTGGATGGCTCCATCAGTCCTGAACTGTTCTTCCTAGAGGTCCAGTAAGGATCATCTCTTATTGATCCAGTGTTACTACAGGAGGAAACCTAAACTAAACTAACTTTATTTATACTGGATAGCTCCATCAGTCCTGAACTGTTCTTCCTAGTGTTTCCAGTAAGGATCATCTCTTATTGATCCAGAGGAAACCTAAACTAAACTAACTTTATTTATACTGGATAGCTCTATCAGTCCTGAACTGTTCTTCCTAGAGATCCAGTAAAGGCTAGTTTCCACTCAGGAAAATTCTCCTTTGGATCGGACGGGACAGGAAAGTTTCTTTTGTATAAACGCCGCCTGAGAACTCACCGACAAAGGAAATTTTCCTGTCCGTTCCGATCCAAAGGAGATTTTTCCTGAGTGGAAACTAGCCTTAACGATCATCTCTTATTGATCCAGTGTTCTACTGAACATGATCCCACCGAAAAAACATCTTTCATTTGATCAGGTCAGATACCACAAACTATTATAATTCAACACAGATAAGACACGGATGTTCTAGCAACTGAAAAATATGTGTACAAACTTTAATCAACAATGAGTGTCGCGTTAGTATAACTTTCTACAAAATAACGTCCGTCCTAATATGGACATCACACGTGATCAGCGTGTATCTGGTCGATGTGTATAACCAAAATAAATTTCGACCAGCAAATATTTTCTGTACATATTATTAATGCAAGTTATTCCAACACCTCAACACCGATGTCCCATTATTATTAGCAGCTTGATTTCCGCGAAAAGCACGATGCTTCAGAAAAAGGTCAGCTTGTTCGCCTCTCATGGCTGTTTTAATGTGGCTCGGCTCAGATCGATGGAGGACGCCGCTGGGGGGCTTCAAAGTAGAACTAGGTTTGGGGGACGAATTGAAAAATATATACAAGATTTTTTTAAAAAAACTGGTACAAATTCAAAAGGTTCATAAGTCAGAAAACATAGGTCCAAAAGATAGGTAACAATCTGACACGATATTTTAGGTGTCTTAAAGAATATACGTGAATTGAAACGCTGCCCGTGCTTACTTTCTTCTGGATACATTTTTACAAAAATACGGTTCTGTTCCAAATATCCCCCATTATCCCTAGACATATCTGAAGCCCCCTCATAAATGCGGCGTACAGTCCTTCACAGTCCTTCACTTGGCGCGCGGTCGTGGATGATTCGTCATCAAGGGAGATGGCTAGAAGTTCTTTCTAACGTGCCCAGATGCCACAGAGGCTGATCTCTGAGGCGTTCTCGCGTTCGGGGTGAAGTTGTTGCCCTCGGCTGAATGCCGCCGTCCATCCTCAGAATCTTTCCCATGTTTCCTAAAGAATTACCATGCGTCAACAGCTTCTTATCATGAAGGGTTTTGTAACGGTTTGTCGGAGAGAGCAACAACTTTCTATCAAATGTTGTACAACAAACTGCCAAAGTCCCCCACAGACCGGACGCGTGATGCGGCAACGCGACGCGAATTTTCAAAGTTTTTTCACTTCCAAAAGCAAATAAATTTTAACCTAACAGAATAATTTTGTAGATTACTTAACGATCATGCATTTTGACTGCTCTGGTTTCCATAGATTTCACATTTTGCTGCCAGAATTTAATCTATATATGCTTCTGAAAACTGAAAATTCGCGTCGCGTTGCCGCATCACGTCTGGTCTGTGTCGGCCTTTAGGCCCTCACGTCGAAACGTCGAGAAGTGTTTTGCCTATTTTAGGCAGTTGTTGTACCACATTTGCGAAGATTACTGAACATGTTTTAACTTGGTACCGTCGTGCAAAGTGTTCTTCAAACCAACTGGGGCCGGTTGTATCAAGCCCGTTTAGCTTAAACGGTGGGGATAAGTTCAAAATAGAAAGCAAGTCTATCGTTTTATTCAACACGCATTCAACTAAATGTTTTTAACCTTAATACAAAGATACTGTTTACAACTACATATTCAGTGCATAATATTCAAGTTGACTCATTCAAGAGAGATGTAGGAGTGTTGTTTAATTTTGACTTATCCACCGTTTAAGCAAAACGGGCTTGATACAACCGACCCCTGGTTGACAAAATGAGAGTTCTTACTATTCGTTGAACTCACTTACCTTGGCGACTGCCTGTGCCTGGGGACGATCTTCTTCGTGAGATACGAGACCCATTCCTTCTGCTCGTCGTGTGACGGAGCCAAGACCAGCAATTCCTTCGCAGTTAACATGTCGGGTGTTACTGGGAACGAAAAATACGAATGTCACATTACCGCTGTTACTCGATTTATGAAAATGAAAATATGTTTATGGTTTACCAGACCTCCGGGTAGAATCAGGGTATATTATGGTTAGGGACAGAGGGGTGTACATTGAGAAATAACCCAATCTATCCATCCATCCAACTACCAGTTCCTAGCCCTTCCTGGGGCCACTTGTATAAAAGACTAGTTAACTTTTAACTGTAGTTAAGGACAGAATTGGCCAATCAGAGTTGTGTATTTCTGAGTTAACTAGGATTTAACTATGCAAAATGTAGCTAGAGTTTTATATATATATAAGAATTCTTAATTTCCATACCTTGACAGGCGCTGACACAGGCCTCTTCCCTATCCACGTGGTCTTTGTGACATTTGATGTGACATCCTGAAAAAAAATCCGATGTGAGCTTCAGGGATTGAAAAATATCTTTGTAGTGTGTGGGGTAACAGGTACAGACAACATACTTATTCGGAAAGGGGCGAAAGTTCTAAATATATATTATTTGGGGTGCGAACCATTTTAGGAGGATTGTCTATGGGGGTGAAGGGAAACAGCGGGACATGTCGCAGCTCTCGGCTTTCGTCCAATTGGATAATGCTTTTCTATGCTTTTTAAAGAACGAAGCTATGCCAAAACTACCCAAAACAGCGGGGATGAGACTGTGACAGGTGTGCAGCATGACAACTTTAACAAACAAAGTAAAGTAAATAACTGGAAATAAAAGAAGCCACTTACTTCTACATTCAAGAGCGTCAGGTGCTTTGAACATGTGCCAGAGCGGTTTAGGGCATGTATCGCACGTGGTCGGCATGTGATAATGGACAATTAAGAACTCGTGTTGCATGTACACGATTAGATTTCCACGTTCCTAAAAAAACATTTTCACACGCTGTTAAAAAACATCCTCCTGGGTCGGTTAAACCCTGCGAATGTGAGGTAATTGGATGCAGTTTCGAAGAATGACGGTAGGATTAAGATTTAGATATAGGATTAAGGATTAAGAACTCGGATCAAGGGATTAATTAAATAGGAATGGCTGATGGTACCTCCGGGGCTTCTTGCAGCTCGTTCTCCGTTTTTCGTTTACTTTCTCCCTCGCTACCGTAGAGAATCTGAAGAAACAAAGTTTTGATGTCATCAAACAGGACATTGTCTTGGCCCCCCCCTGATAGAATCTTGCGGGAACCCCGCGCGAAATAAACACGTGGGTTTCTGAAGGTCTCAGAGCCCCCCTTAGTACCTGGAATATCCTAGGAATTTCATTCTTGTCCGCTCGAATGACATCCCCTTGGGACACTGGTCTTGCGTGGAAAAGTTTACTACAAAAAATAGATAAGATTTCATACAAGGCTTTCCACCCACGGAACAGTCTCACCAGTTATGTGCAATATGGTCTCAATATATTCACCTTATATCAAGTATCATGTTAGGCGTGGCGCTGGATTTGTCAGCCTCGTTGTTGTAGAAGAAGATTTTTCGACTGCTGATGATAACATACTGGAAAGAAAATGAAAAATAGTCAAACGTCAAACCTTTTCGGCGTACCACTTAAACTGTCGCGAATTTCATCTATTTTAGCTTTATTCCCTTGAACATTATGTAGACAGTGAACTAGGTGTGAACAATAATTGGTTGCAAAAGTTTTGCAGGTTTTGAGAGCAAATAATATTACGGTTTGATTAAATTTAGATCTGTACAAATGACTCTGAAATACCTGTTTCTTCCAGCCATATTTCTTAATATTTTGTCTATTTGGCACCGCCAACCAGCCTTCCTTGGCAAACGATCCTGTAAAAAATCGAAATAAAAACTTTGTCGAATACAGAGGCTTCTTGCTAAAAAACGGCAGGTTACTACAACAAGGTTACTCCGATACCCAACCGGCTGGCACCGAGCATACACCGAGCATACACCGAGCATACACCGAGCATACACCGAGCATACACCGAGCATACACGAGACCTACCCGGAATATCCTCCGCGTTGTTCAAATTCGAAGGTACGACGTCAGCGACTTGTTTTAATTGCTTCAACTGAGCCTGCAGTTGTTCGATTAGTAAGTCTTTCGAATCACTCTCCATCTAAAGCAAAAAATAAAAGCATGAAATTGACTCTTTGCATGTTAGACTACTTTTTGATCTGTGCAAAATGATCCAATCAAATCACCACAGCTGAAAAGAGCGTACCAAAATTAGTAAAAATGCAAAGTTTGGTTGCGAAATGTCGTAACATACGGAAAATATAGCCTTGCAAAGTTTGCAAATTTGTATACTTTAGTTTAACGCACGCAAAAAGTTACCATTTTGGGCCCGAATGTGGTAACATTTTGCGTGCGTTAAACAAAAGTATACAAATTTGCAAACTTTGCAAGGCTATATTTTCCGTATTTTACGACATTTCGCAACCAAACTTTGCATTTTAACTAATTTTGGT